TTGTTAATAATGTTGTTGGAAAACCTCAAATTGAAGATTTCGCTGATTGTCATAGTGATATTGTTGCCGGTTAATAGTCACCATAATATGATTAATAATAATAGCATTGTCGGTTAATAATGTATAATAATATTTTTTGACGATGTGGTTGAATATATCAAAATTGTAACATTAATGGTGTTGAGAATATTGACACAAATAAAAACAATAATAAAATTTTCGTGTGGTCGAGTAAGAACATGAATATTGACACAGCTTGTTAATAATAGTGCAGTGGTAGGTTAATAATGATTAATAATATTGTTTGATGATGTTATAAATGGTTAATAACGTTGTTAATATCGATATATACTCAACACTGCAGATTTGAATGAAATACTTTGAGATGAAAACTTCAAGGGGCAAAATGTTGGTAACAACTTGGCGGGAAGTCAAGATGAAATTGCAGCGGATATTGAGGGGATGGATGTTGAGTTGTTTGTTTTGCATATATGAAAAGAAAAAAATAAAATTCATGTGTCTTGATCTTTTGTATTTTTTATTCTTCATAGTTCAGAAGTAGAAATTGGGTACATGAGTCTTCGAATGATGATAGCTTCGTACCAGTTGTGGACATTGCAATTAATAATGAGAGTAATAGGAACCAGTGGCTCGTCAGTAACAAATCCTTCACGGTTGACCTCGGCGTCGCCAATCTTCCTCCTGAAGTACAGTAAAATTGTTGATAGTGCAGTGAACAATATTAATAATGGGTAAAAAAATGTTAATAATGAACAAAGATTGATAATAGTCTACGTTAATCAAGCCGACAGATTAATAATAGCACATGATTAAAAATGTTGCCAATGACATTGAAAATATTAATAGTGGGTGAAGAATGTACAGGTGAAAAAGAACTATCTTTGCGTGTGGATAAGTATACAAGTGAAAAATGTTAATAACAGAGGTTAAAATGATAATGACGTAGATAAAAATGTTGATAATGTATTGCATTAAAAATTCAACAAGATATAGTTAATAATAATGTCGTTGAAAAGGTATAATTAATAATAATGTCATTGTTTGTCATAAACTCTGGCAGCAACTGCCTTCTTCTTCTCCATCGTCTTACTAAGCGGTGAAGCCTTACGCATTGTATTCTTTGTACGCAGCATATTGTGGACCACTGTCAAAAATTACAAATTGCATATAAATATACTAATAACTCATGTTTGAACAACGGAAAATACAAACGGAAAATCTTAATAACATAAAACATAACATTAATAATGCCATTTCACGAGTCAGAAACAAAACCTAAAATTGTTGATAATGTATCACTTTTTTGTATGGTTGTATACTGATAGTAAGAAGGCAAAAAATCTTAAATAACATACATGTTATTTGATAATGCGGGATGATAAATGTACAAATATCGAACAAATTGTTACAAATATAAAAAAACTGTGACCATCGCGCTTGGAAATTTTAAAAACCATTGCGACGTAATTTGTCAATGAACTTTATCAGTAAACCAATTTCGAATGCCAACAAAAAGATTGACAATAGCGACAAGCACATTGCTCATAGTGTCATGTTAAATATTACTAAGTGAATAAAACCCATTAATAACGAACACGTTAATGATTAATAATGTAGCAATTAAATGATAATACCCACGGAAGAAACGTTAATAACAGTGTCCTAAAAGGGTTGAAACGATACTTCAATATATCGGGTAAACATATTGACTATCACCATTAAAAAGATTACAAATCATTCAACCTTAAATTGATATTAAACTTGTATAAGTAAAAGACTCTAAGCACCCATTAAACAAAACTGACCAATATAGCATATAAAATAAACATCAACGCAAAACCCTACAGCCATGCAATGCCAAAACCTACACCCATGCAGCTCCCTGAAAACCTTAACATACGAAATAAAACGAAAATCACCTTGAACGCAGCCGACGAGAGATAAGAGATTGGCGACGAAATGGATGGGAACGAGAACAACACTAGTGACGCTGGGACGGGAAGGCCTTCAACGCTAGTGACGCCGAACAGGGAGTAAAACTACCTTTTCAAACGTACGCCGGAGTATGTGAGCGATGGACTTGTCCGACGGCTAAAACGAAAGCTGGAGTAGTTGAGGGCGGGACGGAAGCTGGGGTTCAGCTTTGGTGGAAACGGAAGCTATTTTAGGTTTAGGGAGGAAAAAAGACGGGACGTTGGTTTAGGGTTAGCCATTTGCGTTTTTAAATTATTTATAATACCCTAAATATCCTTAACAACTAATTAACTAATAACTTCTTCCTAACTACTAAAATTTGCAGCAGCCAATTACAACTAGGGGTGTATATATGGGTCGGGTGGTTCGGGTTTAACCATTTTAATCACCCGTTCCATGCACTACGGTTTGGAAATTATCAAACCCAAACCCACCCAAAAAATTAAAACCCTACGGTTTGTTTCTAATTGGGTTGGGTCGGATTGGCGATATTTTTAAGTAAAAACCCAACCCAACATAAAATATATAATTATTATACATCATAAAAATATTTTATAACTAATTAAAATTTCAAACGAATAAAGCGAGGTGAAAGGTATCAAGATTCAAAAATATTGTTTGAATTTTAATAAAATGTGATTTACTTCAACATATGTCTAGTGTTTTTCACGATATTTGTTGAAATAGGCTAAAAAGGTTATAAACAAACGAATCCATACTATGTTATTCTATTAAAATTGTACACAAGAAAAAGGATTACGTGAATCATAACTATATTCAATTTATGTCTAAACTTTAAGTCGAAGAATGCATTAGATTAGGGAGACCATGATAGAAAAACATGACAAAATATCTTAATTTTCTCATAAGTATTGCTATATACGACATAAATATTTTTTAGATACGAACTCATACTAATAGTTGGAACACGGGTTGGGTCGGGTTCTACGGGTTGTGTAATCCAAAATCCAAACCCAACCCAAAAGAGGCGGGTTGTACAAAAGAAAACTCTCACCCAACCCAAAACCTTCGTTTTAGCGATAAATACGGGTGGGTTGGGTCGGGTTGAACGGGTGGGTCGGTTTGCGGGTGTGTTTGTTCACCCCTAATTACAACGCTTTAAGATCCTCCTTAAAAAAAGGAGGTTTGAGGACCTGAACTCAGGCCGAACTCAGGCCTTGTCGTCGTCCCTAATAATTCTCACAATTAGCAACGGAGGCTTCCACGGCGGCATAGTCGTCATCCCTGCTGAAGCTGCCGACAATCCAATGTGCAGCGCCTTGTACAAATGGTTCTGCAGCCCCAACGACTTCGACAACCCGATCACGCAGGACTCGGTACGTACTGTCCATTATCAGCGTATTCGGATCCGGGTGTCAGCCGCTCTACGATGCAAACCCTAGCGGTGAAGCACTGGTGGCCTACATGCATGCTTCTTGCTCTGGCAACCGTAAAATCTGCCATGCCTGCATCAAAGCAGTGACTCGACAGATGCGTGACCATTGCTTTAACAAAGATGGAACACAGTGCGGGACAGAGGATTGTTGCGTTAGATATGAGAGAAGCAACTTTTGTGGGGCGAAATTATAACTAGCTAGATAGCTAGTATTGAGGGCTGGGATTCGGTTAAACCGTTAACCGAACGGTAACGGTTGTCGGATGGGAAATCTGGGACGGCGGTATACCGGAACCCGCATGTTAACTAACCGACGGAAACCCGGTTTATCGATACCGAGTTTGCAGGAGCGGCGGCGCAGTATTAATGCTAATTCCCCACCATTCCCGAATCCCGACCCCATTCCAGATTCTCCTAATTAATAAAATTGGTTATCTATTAGGAAAAGGAATTACAGATAACTAATTCAGCAATTCTCCTCCCCTCTCGCTCTCTGCCTGCCTAACCCAGCCCTCACGAGTCTTAACAGAGGATGAACCCTTTCAACCTTCTCCCATGGCTTCTCTGGTTTATGTCGACAAAGAGAAAGAGATTTCCAGTGTTGAAGAAGAATGGGAACAAGATAAAGCTGCAGAACTTGATACAACGGGCCCTCATTTAGAATCAATTGAATTGGCCCATAACTCTGTCTCTAGGCCTGAACGGCCCATAAGGCTTTAAGCCCTTAACTCCATGTCTTTCCTCTGTACACCTGTTACTTGTACTGTTCTTGTTTGATATATAAAAGGAAACCACAGAGAAGAGGAAATCAAGTTGAAAGCTCACAAACTCATTCTTGTATTATGGTATCAGAGCCGCCCTTCTAGGGTTTCATGAGCTTTCATTTATTCAATTCCTCTTTACCTTATCATCTTTCATTTTCTTGTTGATCATGGCAGATCCACGACCAGTTACCACTCATTACCCTCTTTCAGATCCATACTTTCTTCATGGGGGAGAAAATCCGACATTACTTCTTGTACCTGAAAAACTCACAGGAGCAAATTACAATGATTGGAGTGTCTCTATGATCAATGCTTTATCTTCAAAAAACAAGTTACCTTTTATCTACGGCACACTGTCTATGCCTTCATCCACAGATCCTCTATATCAGCCTTGGATCAGTTGCAACACCACGGTCCTGGGCTGGATTAGGTTAGCTGTAGCTGACAACATCAGGAAAAGTTTGTTAAAGTTCAAGACAGCAAAAGAAGCATGGGAAAACCTCAAGAAACGATATGGTCAAGGAGATTTGATTCGCATCTCAGAGTTACAGGAAGAATTATCCACTCTAAAGCAAGGTACCCGATCCATATCAGAATACAACACTCATTTGATGACCTTGTGGAATGAGTTAATGGAGTACCAACCACTACCTGATTGTGACTGTAATGGCGGAGTGGTATGTTTAGATTGCAAGGTTGTTCTTAAGCTGAAAAGTTATCAGGAAACTAATTCTATTATCCAATTTCTTCGTGGATTGAATGACAACTATTCATCTGCTAGATCACAAATTCTCATGTCTGATGTGTTACCTGATATGGACTCTGTGTTCCATCGAATAATGCAACTTGAGAGGCAGTTTGTTGGAAGTTTCCAGCAGATCAAGGCTGTTGATCCTATGGCCATGTTAGCACCTGTACAACCACAAGGATTTGGCTTGAGTCAGCCAAGATTTGAAGGCAGTAGGGTCCACTACCGCACACCTAGACCCAGCAGGCCAATCAGACCACATAATCAAAGCTATGATGCTGTTGGCTCTAGCCAAATGGGAAGAAGACCCTTTTGCACATATTGTAAATTCAATGGTCACACCATAGAGCAATGTTACAAAAGAAATGGGTACCCACCTGGTTATACTCCCAGACCAGCCAGTTTCAACAACCAATATCGAGGGCAAGCACATTCAGCAGTCACTATCCCACCAACTGGATCACCTGGGATCACAGGAACTCTCTCTAATCTGAGGCTATCAAGGGAGCAATATGATCAACTTCAAGCTTATGTCTGCGATCCAATTGGAACATCCACTGGACAATCAAGTTCTGGAGGTCATTTATCAACCTCTTCCCCTTACAATGCAGCCGCATTTGTATCGTCAGTCACAAATCCAGCAGGTACTCAATTTTCCCATCAACCACTAGCCTATGTTTGGATATTGGATACAGGTGCAACCGATCATATAACTTGCACTATGGACAAATACACAAGTTATAAAAGAGTCTATAATGTCTTTGTCACAATTCCTACGGGTGTCCAAGTACCAGCCACTCATGTTGGGACAATAACTTTTTCTGACACTCTCACCCTTGAGAATGTGTTATTTGTTCCCTCCTTCTCTTTCAATCTCATTTCGGTCAGCAAATTAACTACCACAATGCCTATTTGCCTATCTTTTTCCTCTACTTCGTGTGTTTTACAGGACCTTGTTTCGGGGAGGAGGATTGGTATGGCTAATTTACGACAAGGCCTTTATCACATGTCACATGATTCTCAGCCCACTTCCTTAGCCCTCACTAGTCAATCACAATCACCCAAGAATTTTGATTTGTGGCATTTCCGTTTGGGACATTTGTCACATGCTAGAGCTAGTATTTTGAGCAGTGTGGAGCCTAGCATAGTCACTAATGCATCACATCAGTGTGCTATTTGTCATTTTGCCAAACAAAGAAGACTTTCCTTTCCTATAAGTGTATCTATTAGTTCAGAACCTTTTGCCTTAGTACATATTGACATTTGGGGCCCTAATCCCATTCCCTCTTATGATGGTTTTTCATATTTTCTCACCCTTGTTGATGACCATACACGTTTCACTTGGATTATGTTGATGAAAAACAAATCTGAAACTAGGCAGCATATACAAACTTTTTGTGCTTATGCTGCTAGACAGTTTGGGAAAACAGTGAGAAAAATAAGAAGTGACAATGGACAGGAATTCAAAATGAGTGATTTTTTCAATAAGGAGGGGATAGTTCATGAGACATCTTGTGTAGAAACCCCCCAACAAAACAGTCGGGTTGAACGAAAACACCAACACATCCTATCAGTTGCTCGAGCTCTTAAGTACCAAGGTGGTTTACCTCTAAGTTTTTGGAGCGATTGTGTGAGACATGCTGTATACTTGATCAATAGGCTCCCTTCTATTATAGTCCAAAACAGCACCCCCTTCGAATGCCTGCACCACAAACCACCAAATTTAAAAGAACTTAGAGTATTTGGATGTCTTGTTTATGCCTCTACTCTGTCAAGCCATCGTTCTAAATTCACCTCTAGAGCTAGAGAGTGTGTGTTTTTGGGGTTTCCTCTTGGAACCAAGGGCTACAAATTATATGACATCCATTCACATAATACCTTTGTATCACGTGATGTGCATTTTTATGAGCATCAATTTCCATTCCAATCCATTCCTTCCCCTGATTCTGACTTGGACAGACCTGTTGCTACTTTAACTCCAATCAGCTACACTTTATCACCAGATTCTTCCTTTATATCTCCTCCCTTTCAAACCACACAGCCCCACGAACCTTCCGATTCTCAGCCTTCTAGTTCCTTTACAGAATCAGCAAGCCCTCCACCTACAATAGTAAGTGCTGAAAGAGAAGTTCTTAACTCTAGCCCACCATTGCAACGAAAATCTGACCGACAAACTAGACCTCCTTCTTACCTTAATGATTACCACTGCAGTCTCTTCTCTCATCTTGGCTATACCAATGCTGCTCCCCATGTACAAGCGTCTCAACATCCAGTGACAGCCACCTCTCATGATCTTTCCACCGTTATTTCCTATAATAACCTCTCCCCAACTTTGCAGCATTTTGCCCTTTGCATTAGTAGCATCACTGAACCTCGGTTCTACAAGGAAGCTTGTAAAATTCAACAATGGATCGATGCTATGCAACAAGAGTTACTTGCTCTCCATCAAAACCAAACATGGGTCTTGGTTGATTTACCTCCTGGAAAACACACCATAGGATGCAAATGGGTATATCGTATTAAATTCAAATCAGACGGTTCAATTGAACGTTACAAAGCTAGACTCGTGGCAAAAGGTTTCACTCAACAAGAAGGCTTGGATTATACTGATACCTTTGCACCGGTGGCTAAAATCACCACTATCAGAGTGCTCCTCGCCATTGCTGCCGCTAAGGGTTGGCATCTTCAACAATTAGATGTCCATAACGCCTTCCTCCACGGGGACTTGCACGAGGAGGTTTACATGGCTCTCCCACCTGGATTAGTCACCGATCCTGCAGATGCAAAGAAAGTATGTAAGCTGCAGAAATCCCTATACGGCCTCAAACAAGCATCTCGACAATGGTTTGCCAAGCTTTCTCAAGCTTTAATTCACCTGGGATATATTCAAAGTCATTCTGATCACTCACTTTTCACCAAACAGAAAGGTAATTCATTCACTGCCATCCTCATCTATGTGGACGATCTGATTTTAGCAGGAACTGATATGGGAGAAATTTCTATGGTGAAAGCTCACCTTGACCGTGCCTTTCATATCAAAGATCTTGGGGAGTTAAAATTTTTCTTGGGTCTGGAAGTGGCAAGGAGTCCTACAGGCATTCATCTAAGTCAACGAAAGTATACCTTGGAAATTCTTCATGAGACAGGCTTCCTTGACTCGAAACCTGTTAGCACGCCAATGGAGCCAAAAACTCGCCTCTCTGCTCATGATGGCGCACCACCAGTTGACGTTACTGCTTATCGCCATCTTGTTGGTAAATTAGTGTACCTAATGACTACGAGACCCGATATCAGCTTCGTCACCCAACAGTTAAGCCAGTTCCTCGATTGTCCGAGTCTCCTTCACCTCCGGGCTGCTCATCGATTGCTTCGATATCTCAAAGGTGATCCCAGCCAGGGGCTGTTCTTTCCAGCCTCTTCTGATTTACAACTTCATGGCTTCTCCGACTCCGATTGGGCAGGTTGCCCTGACAGCCGCCGATCCGTTTCCGGGTTTTGCACCTTCCTCGGCAACTCCCTCGTCTCATGGAAATCAAAAAAGCAAACGACGATCTCTCGATCTTCAGCGGAGGCTGAATACAGAGCTTTGGCTTATACCACCTGCGAGCTTCAATGGCTCCTGTTTGTCCTTCGAGATTTTGGGATTTCTCATCCCCAACCGGCACTTCTCTATTGCGACAGTAAATCAGCCCTCTACATCGCCGCCAATCCCGTTTTCCATGAACGGACGAAGCACATCGAGCTTGACTGCCATATTATTCGTGAGAAATTGCAACGCCGCATCATCTCTACAAGCTATGTTCCTTCCTCCCATCAGCTAGCCGATTTATTCACCAAACCCTTGGGCCCCTCAGCGTTTTATGCACTCTACTCCAAGCTGGGATTGCATTCTTTATGCCCTCCCGCTTGTGGGGGAGTAACAGAGGATGAACCCTTTCAACCTTCTCCCATGGCTTCTCTGGTTTATGTCGACAAAGAGAAAGAGATTTCCAGTGTTGAAGAAGAATGGGAACAAGATAAAGCTGCAGAACTTGATACAACGGGCCCTCATTTAGAATCAATTGAATTGGCCCATAACTCTGTCTCTAGGCCTGAACGGCCCATAAGGCTTTAAGCCCTTAACTCCATGTCTTTCCTCTGTACACCTGTTACTTGTACTGTTCTTGTTTTGATATATAAAAGGAAACCACAGAGAAGAGGAAATCAAGTTGAAAGCTCACAAACTCATTCTTGTATTAAGTCTCCCGCCGCCCAATTGGAACCCCAATCGGCAATCTTTTTCTCTCTGACGCCGGCGTAATCAGACCGACGAACCACGACATAGCAGGCTAGCAGCCCAACACCGCAACTCTCCGTCGACCCCGCCGCGCGTCCTCTCCATCGACCCCAGCAGCACTGCAGCCTCTCCGTCGACCCTGCGTCGCGTCCAGTCCGTCGACCCCAGCACGTGTCCCTGAACCAGTCTCCCATAACATCATCAATTTCAGGTTGGTTGTCTTGTTGACTGCTTGTATGATGATGATGTCGGTGCAGCTTCCCCGCGACAGCAGCTTTAGTGATATTGTTTGTTTTAATTAATTAATTCCACCGCCGGTGCAGCTTCCCCCGCCGCAGCAGCTGGCTGTTTTTTATTTTTGAAAGGGACGAGCCAGAGAAGAGGAGTAGAGAAAGAATACATGTGGTGTAAATGATATTTGATGACTGGTGATTGATTTTTGTCTTCGTCCCATACCTTTCTGGCTTTCTTTTATGAGCTCCACCTGTAGTGTAGACGTGTAGTGCATGATGAGATGGCATGTTCCCATAATTGATAATTGAATAATGGAGCAGAAAAGAAAATGAAAGAAAGGTTTCAACTTTCAAATTTCAGTGTTTCACCAATCACCATCGTCCACCAAGGCACTAGCCAATTTCCAAGCGGAGCAGACATATGCCAATTCCCAAGTTCCCAACTCACAAAAATGGGAAAGCAAAGCAGCAAAAAGTAGGCTAGTCCTCCTCACCATTCGTAATCAGCGCATCCGGTAATCGGGTACCCGGATAATTACCGCCATCGCAGCAATTCGGTAACCGGTTTACCGAGGGAATATCGATATCGGCAAACGGTGGGGGCTGCCATGCTTCCGGTATACCGGAAACCGGTCGATCGGTAATCGGTTTAACCGGTTACCGACCGTTTACCAGCCCTAAGTATTTGGGGTCCAGATCTAGTGACTAAGCCCGTTCAACTTTTGGATTGATCTAATGGTCCAGATAAATTCATGAATTATTATTAAATGAGAATTTGACATTATCAGAAATTCATTAACTCCTATTTTTAGTTTGGTTTTATTTATTTCTTTTTTTCCTCTCCAACTGTCTCCTCCTTTCCCCTTTCTTGCGATGTTGAGAGAGAGAAAGAAAGCCATTGAGGAGGAGAGAGATCGCATCGCCGGTGGAGGAGAGAGAGAAAGAGAAAGGCCGCGACGTCAGTGGAGAGAGAGATGGCGGCGACAACGATGGTGGAGGAGAGAGAGACGATGTCAACGACGGTGGTGGAGGAGAGAGAAACGCCGCCAAAGGCGGATTTGTCTGAGAACGACAGCGGTGACAATGATGGATGAGAGAGAGGCGGCGGCGACGATGGAGAGAGAGAGGCAGCAATGGCGGTGGAGAGAGATTCGGCAGCATCGACAGCGAAGGAGGCGAGAGATTCGATGATATAAGTGTTATACATTTGTATTGTTATTATCTTTGTACATAATGTCATTGTGATTTGTAATGCAAGTGTTATACATTTGTATTGTTAGTATCTTTGTACATAATGTCATTGTGATTTGTAATGCAAGTATTACACATTTGTATTGTTAGTATCTTTATACAAAATGTCATTATGATTTGTAATGCAAGTGTTATACATTTGTATTATTAGTATTTTTGTACATAATGTCATTATGATACAAACTTTATCATAAAAGTTTACAAATTAATATTTACAGACCGTACCAACAACATCTTAAGAGTTAAGAGTATATAATCATAATGAGATTATAAATACCAAGTATACAAATCATAACAGTAAGTATACAAAGTAGACATACAATCTTTACGAACTACAATGTATACAAATTTGATAGACAAAAATGACAAACTAAAAGAATAAATATTATAAACCGAATAAAATAAATATTACAAACCAATTTACAAAGATTACAAACTAGGCAGACAAAATTTACAAAATCGTCGCCACCGACAAATCTGGCGATGTCATCGTCTCTCTCCTCCTCAACTGCCGCTGTCTCTCTCTCCTTCTCCACGGTCGTCGTCGCTCTCGTCTT